ATTTTTAAAAAAAAATTTGCTTAAGAAATTACCGTTCAATGATCAAAATAGGTGCTGATTAATTATCTATTGATCAACTAATATTTTATTGTTAAAAGAAAGAAAACATACTAAAAGTATAGGTGGACTAAACATTTTTTCCTCGATATTTGGCTCAGTTTTATTTTAAAATGAAAAATGCCTGATGTTGTTTGTAATATGAAAACAGCTCTGTCCCAAACGTCAGATTTGTCTAAAAAGATTAACAATGGCTGCAGTCTAGTTTTGGGAGATGCTGTCATCTTACAAGAGAGATTTTTTTCATTGTGGAGATTAAGCATCACAGTCTGCCTACAAAACGGCGGTTGTAAAGAAAGGGACAGTACTTTATAAAGTATGAAACAGCTATTCATGAAAACAGGCTTAAATAAATACTGTACTGGCCTGAATATAAGACCTTCATTATAAGATAAGAAAAATATGTATTTTACTACATAAAGCTTACTAACTAAATCGATGTAGTTCATTGTTTTTTTACCCGTACACAAACAGAAATAATTAGAATATGTAACTTCCCTACGTTGTTGCTTTGTAGTTCTGTCTAGCCAGGGACTGCAGATGGAAAGTAGCCAGTAGCTCTGGTACAAAGCATTTCATCACATTCTCTTTGTTTGAGATCATTGACAAATAGATTTAACAAACAAGAAAGAGAAAAAAATTGTAGGTTAAAGCTACTACAGGGACTTTTTAACCGATTATGAAACGATCTCAATGTATTACTGATGCCTCTTTACGACCTACATGAACAAAACCATAATGGACAAAAAGATTGGCTATTTCTAAATAGTTATTCTTAATGGCTGCCACCGGGTCGGATTCCCATGAATCAGTTGAACCAAGTTGGTGGAAACACTACCTCTTTTGTCCACAGGGGGTGCCAGAATCAACACAAGTTTCTTATCGGGGCTGTAAACAAACAAGACACAGGGTTGGTGAGCCTAATTTGATCACTTTGGACAGAGCCAGGCTCACTGTGTCTGCATGCTTTCTAGTCTTTATGCTAAGCTAGGCTAACAACAGTATCCTAACTCTAGCTGTACTTCACACACAGACATGACATTGTTATCAGTGATCAACATGTTTGGCAGGACAGCAAATGAGCGTATGACGTCTGAAAAATGTGATATATTATGCATTGTTTGTAGCATTAGTGTAGCTAGACTAGCGTGTTTCTACCATCTGTCAGCAGACACTAACTGAGGACATTTCAAATGAGTAGACAGACAGTCATAAGGTATCTCTCTCAAAAGAAGGCAAGTGTGTTCTCCCTATTTAAGTAACTTAATTTGAAGGAAAATCTGGGTTTCTGGGATTTTCCCCTCTTATATTCAGAATGTGGTCAGTGGTCACAGTTGTCAATGGGCTTCAAGGAACAAGTAATATTCTATAATGCCTTCAAAACCCAGCTGTCGGGCCCATACCTTAATCTGTCGTGGCCATCTGCTGAACCTCGAAATCATGTGTCAACCCATTGCCGTCGCTGCTTGTTGTTTTGCACTAAAGCATGTCACAAGACTGGAGCTCATCTGTAGGCGTTTTATGTTGTAGACAAAATAATTCAGTCTCTCTCTTCCGGGGCACCAGAGTGCAAAGTTGAGGAAGAGCAATGTTTTTAATGGTTTTCTGCTCCTCCTCCTATCCCTCTGTCCTTTTTTTCTGTATTTTCTAGTGACTGTCAGTGATCACATCATCATTGCTCAAAGGCAGGAATATTAAGGAAAGTGGCTCAATTTCTTGGTTTTCTCTGAGTTATATAATCTTAAATATAGTCAAGCAGCATGGCAAGAACTTGTCTAACTGAATACAATACAAAATCAGTAAAGAACATTTTTAATCTGTCCAGACATCCAATGGCAGTTTGTTGGTCCTCAACAGGTTTCCAGATGTTGCTTCTGAACAACACTGAATCATTACTGTGTGTTTCCTATTTGCAATACTAACCTGTATCTCTCTCTCTGTCTGGTTGAAATAAAACAGAGCATATAGTGTAGATGTGCTTGAGTGCTGTCAGGTTTAACCCTGCCTCCAAGCAGCTGGCCTTCTTATCTGTCCCGCCTGTGCTGATGCATATTTATCCCTCCCTGAGTGGCTGAGAGCTGGCTTAGCATACAGATTAGCTGTAGAAACAGATGCAGACCCACACTGGCAGTGAAAACAAACTAGTGGTGTTGCTTTAAGAAACGTTCACCTGAGTACTTGAGATCTGACTTATGGAAGAGGTCGGTTGTGAAGTTGCGTGTCTCAATCTCTCGGTCAAACACAAAACCTTTGACAAATCATACAGGTCCCACCGGAGGAGTGGATTTAAAATGAAACATCTTTATGGAAGTGAGTGTTAAAGTCCTTTGACCTCTTCAGTGAATTCTGTTAAAAAATTAAAAGCCCTTAGGCTTCACTGCCTTAAAAAATGTGAGGTAGCATACACTTTGGATATTATCACAGTTAAGTGGTTACTGTCACAGAGTGAGGTGTGCAGTATTTGTAGTATTTCAGTCAGGGTTTACATTAGCCGGCATATGTGTAGTTGGCAGATGAACACAGCAAGGCCAAAAGGTCAGGAGGGTCCAGCTGCGGCTTGGG